ATTTTATGGGTTTAGCTAGAGTTCTGGGAAAAAACAAGAATCTGATCTTGACACGTACTTATTGCTTATATATGCAAACCCTGTAAAAAATTTCTCAGGTCCATTCAGGAATTTTCTACTGAGTGTATCTTTGCTGGAACCTGGCTAATCTTACATGTATCTCATGTATCTTATATTGTTCCTGTCTACAGCCTTGGGAGCTCTAAGAGTTCTCCAACCAGCTGCAAAAATATGCAGTATGCACATCTCACCTTGCAGGTCAGAAATCTGACTGAGATTGTTAGCTGCCTGACAGTGCATAAATCCTTTAGCATATACAACCTTCAGCGACACTGAGCTTCCATCCACATTTCGGGATGCAAAATACTAAGGAAACTTGATGCCAAATACAAAGGAAAAAGTTCCCATGGAAGTATTTTGATTTTTTTTTTTCAATTTTACTGCATGACTATAGAGAGGGAAATGTTTGAAAACTAGTGTAGCTGCTATTTTAAGTTTGAGCATGCTGTTAGCTTGTGAGACCCTCTGCTAATCAAAGTCTTGCATACCTTGTCATTGGACTAGGCTTTCAAATCAAGAAGAGATTCAAAGCTCTGGACATGGAAATATATATCATTCTATGTTTATATCAAAAAATCAGTGTGTTCCATGTAGTTTTCTCAACATATGCAAGAATTTAGTCTTCAATATGTGCATGTCAGTGGTTTAAAAGAGTTCATGTTATCTGTCTTGTTTATCAAAATTTCCTAATGTCTTTAATGTTTTTCATTCTTTTCTGCAGCAATCCAGACAAGAATCAATGCAATTGTGTTGATGAACACTCCACATTAGATGATAACATATTGAGGTGGTCCTGTCAGGTATGGCGTCTTCTGTGTTGTTCGACTCTCAAAGTGCTAGACACATCTATTCATTTTCCAGATTGGACTAAAATGAGGAGTTAAGGGAGGAATAGCGGCAAGGAAGTTGAGTAGCAGCTTTTTAACCACATATCCATAACAATCCTGATCCCTTTTCTTACATCAGGAATATTGATGATAAGTTCTCTCTATACCTGTGTAATCTTAGTATCTCTTGAAGTTTTAAATGGCTATTGTAGCTTTTGGCAACCTATGATTTCTCATATCCTATCAGAGTAACCTGCCACATGATTTAGGAGAGGCAAACTTTCTGTTAAGATAGAGACAGTTCTGCTGGAGTTCCTTTTAAACATGTCAGGGAGGTAATAAACATAACATTTCATTGCCTTCCTAAACTTGCTGCCCTTTCAAAGAAAATTATGGTAGCAATGTATCTTTCTCACTGTTACAAGGATTTTCTAGTTGTTGTGTAAGTAGATTTCATTAAATTACTGTCTTTGTTCTTGATTACACAATTTTATTTTTGTGTTTTATTAGAGATGGGAATAATTTCAATTTACTTTAAGCCCTGATGAATTGCACATATATTAGACTCTATCTGATAGTACTCATCTGATTAAATGTTGTATATTTAGGATGCTTGGGAAAAACTACTGGAATCTGAGAGGTTTGATCAGAGGGATGACTTCACTGTTGTTCTTCAGCCTTCTCTCCAAGAAAGAAATCTGCTACTCAGACTGGTGAGTAAACTCAAGTTGTTCCTTTCTTTCTGCTTTGTGTCTGCTGAGACTGGGTGCAATATTTAGCTGACTTTCCTGTCTATGCTTTGTGTAATGCTAGAAAACAATGGTAGTCAGGCACAGGATAAGATGCAGAGGTCCTGAGAGTGGAACTTGCTTCAAACAGCTCCAGCCAGAGATCCTGTGTTTATTGAATGCTATGTTCCTGGAGAAATCAAGTTATGGGCCTCTGTAGCCTAGGTCACAAGTGTCTGGAAGTTGTCAGTGCTGCTAATCACTGATCATGCTCATGTGTTTGGCAATGAAGGCAAAAAGCGGGTAATGTGAACTATTTAAAAAGGGTTAGAGAACCAAAAGATAAAGGCATTTGTAAGCTGTGTTAGAAAGTACAGTTATTTCCCTACAGTGAGATTAATACAGTTTGGGAACTTGGGAATTGATTTTTTTCTGATATAGCCAGTGGGGAATGAGTATAGCTAGTGTTGCCTGGGATGTCAGGCATGATTTTGTCATGAGTAATCTTTAAAGGGAAGTTCAAAGGTAAAGGCTTTCTAAGATCTGGCAATGAAGACGGAAAATATTACTTTCTAGATAACAGTTCACTTAGAGTGATGTATCAAAATCCAACGCATTAGGTGGTTATTTGTAAAACAGGTTAATGGTGAGTCATGGTCTGGTTTGTGAGCATCATAGTAGCTCCTTGAATTTGAGGTAATTCCATTGCTCCCCTCAGCTCAGTATCAGAACAAAGTGAACTGGAAGACAAAATTTGTCTTCCAGGAAGGATACAGTCTGCTATGTTGCAAACATATGTCTTCTTGCTGCTGGATCATCTTTCACGAGGCTTGTTTTGTTGGTGGCTGATCCATATGCAAATGGCAGACTTCTAACTTTCATGGCATTATTTTTTCTCTTAGTGAATTGGTCTGTTATTTCTTTAAATGCCATTGTATGTCATAGGAGGATTCTTTATTTCTTCTGATTTGTAATATGGCTGCAGGCCACCATGTGTAGCCTTCCAAACTCTTCCAATAGTTACATTTATTTTAAAATTGAGCATGTTCTCTTAAGGCAAATTCTGCATATTTGCATTCTTTAAATGCATGTTTTAGCTAGAAAAGTGTTGCTTATTCCAAATCATTCAAGTGATCACATCTGTATGTCTTTCTGCTCTACTGTATGTCACTATTGTGATCATGCTGTGTTGTTGCTGTGGTCTTCTTGTTCTGTTGATGTGCAACAATTATTTACAAAAATGACATCTTTCTGTCTTGACACACCAGTAGTAACTGAGATCACTAATAAGTGGCTTAAAGAGAATACAAGAGATTGATTTTCTTGTGGATATGAATATTATTTTATAGATTAAAAATGTTTGTGGCTGAATATTTCATCTTTCCATACTCTTAATTCTTTTCTCATGCTCAAAATACTTTCTCTTTAAGGGCAAGGACAGTTTGACTACCACATCAAAGACACAAGTGAAAACTCTGGAAGACTGTATTTACATGGCTGTGGGCCTCTGGAACAACATGGTAAGCAGTACCACAGACACTGTTTCTTACTGGACTTAGTATGGATACCTGGTAGCAACTCCACACCAGCCAGGCTTTGAGTAACAAGGAGGCAGGGGAAGGAAGAATACAAGAATTATCCCATGACTTCTATCCTTAGCTGTGCAGAGAGACTGCTCTTGAATAAAGCTAAATGCCCTACACCCCCAAGACTAATCTCGGTCTTTTCAGTGGCTGCTACTTACTATGAAGAACTTTTTAGAAAGGTTTTCAAAGTAGCCCTTTGGGAAGATTCATGGAGTAAATGAGCTGTGACAGACCCTTCTTTTGCTAGTCTTACCTCTATGACAGCACAGCACAGGACAACTGTGGCTCTTCCCAACCTGGGATTATAGCAATTATACTCCACTTTACTCTGTCCTCTATCTATCCTGCATCCCCTGGCACCCTTTACTAATGAGTCTCATACTGTTGTCTCCTCCTCAGCCATTACTTTTCTGCTGATGATGCTCATAGTAAAAAGGTGATAGACAACCTTGAGGAGCTCTTTTTACTTCCTCAGGGGTTGGATGTCCTGTCCAGCTGAGGAAAGCCAACAAATGGTGCCTTCTACTAGATGGGAGAGATTGTCTGAAAGAGACACGGACTTTCTGACCCATTCAACCTTGAACACAATGATCAGTTCTATAGGAGTCTGTTTCCCACTGCAGATTTGAGCTGCTGACACACAGCGTTTGTGTGTGTGATTGAGTGGATGCATATACAGCTAGAGGTGTTTTGCTTTAAAAGTAATGGTAGGGGCAAGTGAAGAAATGTGCATTGCTTTTCAATGTGAATGAGACAAAAAGGCAGGCATTTGGAGTTGAACTCAGCAGACCAAAGGAAGATATCATTGCTTAGTGTATATTATGTTTGCATATGCCCTGACATCAGTTGTTTTGGATAAGATGTTGATTTTACTATTCCTTCTTCAAAAGGTTCAACATTTTAAGCTTTTTTTTCTAATAAATTTATAACACATCTCTTTTTTATTAAAAAGAATCTATAATGGTCAATTAAGCTTGATTAAATATAAAAGACTTTTTGCTTGTTTTGCAGTCCATGTGTAATAAGATTTTATTCTGAGAGCTGCTGCTATTCCTGTGTCTGTCTAAATTATCCTAAGCATGAAGGAAAAAGATTGTACTGCAACTGCCTTTTAGTAAACCACATTTAAAAATAAATTCATGCAGTTTGGAAAGTTCTTGTTTCCTTTTATGCTAATTCTAGCAGTAGTAATGCTGTTGTAGCCTGATCAATTGAAGAATCAGGATTTGCAGGAAGAGGCTTCTATTCAACAAGATGATATATCTAGAAAAATGGTACTGTCACTTTAATAAAAGATGTTATCTTTTAGTTAAAGTTAATATGACTTTAGTTAGTTAGTAGGAGGCCTTGGAACAGCCACTCTGGCTCCAGTTATCTCCTTTGCTGTTATCTGTGATATTCCTCGTGATAATGTCAAAGTTCTTACCTCTGTTCTTCTATCATAAAATAGATTCATGATAGATGCAAATTGGCACCTTTATTGTTGTTCTGCCTTAGTCCCACTAGGCAATTAGTTTCACTAGTTGAATGAGCAAAGCAAACGCTGAAGGTGAGATTCCTGAAGTGTCAATTATACATTTTCTCTGTTTCTGGCAGTTCTCTGTAAAGAAAGTGAGTGAGTTACTTCACCTGCCTATGTCTGTCCACATCAGCATTGGAGATATTTATCCGGATCACACAATTACAGTCACCCAAACATGACCTATAGGACACTAGAAAGCAATGGCATATCCTCAGATACTAACCATCATAAATATTGAAGCTAGTTGGGAGCAATCCACTCTAAGTATGAACATTCAGTTTGCTGTAAAAAGTGGTCCTTTACATCTGCTTAGCATGGTTTTTCCATCAGCAAATTTTTGAAATGAAACGCTGAATATATTTTCAGCTAGACTAGAAAAGGAATGATTCTGACTGGAAAGGAACCATAGTGCCGTCAGTTTGCCAGCCCATTTTGTGCCTCTCCAGCAGGAATTGTTTGGGGCCAGTTGAACCAAATGTGTTGGATTCTAAGATCCATCTAAATGTGACAAAAGATCAGCCTAAACTAATATATTTTCCAGGGCTTATCAGTGGTAAGCTGACCTCTGACTTTGAGTCATGTCCCTTTCTGTTACCAGACTGCAATTAGCAGACTTCAGGTGCTTCTAATGGGCTTTGCTTTCATTTTTTTCCAAGTCTAGACTATAGCATATTTTTTTTCTTTTTTTCCTTATGGCCTCTTTCTGTCCAGCTTTTAGATTTCAATTCATGCAGAATCCAATACTAGGCATCTTGAATAGTCTTTACAAGGAGTTGTGAAGGTATCATCCCCATCTGAAACAAGTGTGTTAGCTCCGCCAAATCCAGGCTCTGTAGAAGGGGAGAGGGCCAGGATTTGTCTTCTGAAGTTCAATAACTTGTGCAGACATAGTCAGTCAACTCAGTCCTGATTTTTCTTTTCTGCCCTCTCAAATTCTTATACTAAGATTGCAACAAATTCTTTCTGTCCCTTCAGGTGTCATTTTTTTATTTGCATCTTCTGCCAGCAGAAGAGCCTTCCTCTTTCCCTCTGCTTCATTTTTCTGTCTTTAAACCTTTTCTGCATAGACTTTATTTGTCCTCCTGTGCTCTGTCTTTGAGCAAACCATCCTTTGGCATGTTACTCTATTCTTGTCACTTTAATTGTTAGAAGCATTTTGTGGAAACAGCAGAGATGAAAAACCATAAGCAAAATGAAGTGGTGCTTTTAAGGATGGTTGCATTAGGGCCAGTAATCCAGACTCAAGTAGTGGGCCTGCTGTGGAGCCACCAGAACCAGAGCACTGTCATAAAGGAGGCAAATACCAATTTGCTTTATTTCAGAGTTTTTCTTCAGTGTGAGGTGATTCTTCTAGTGAGGAGACAGCGTAGGTGATCTGGAGGAAGAGCAAAATGGGGCAAAACCACATCTTGCCACTGGTGTGAGGGAAGACAATACGAATGGCAGCATTCCCCTCAACTCATTTTCCCATCTGTTTTCCTGACTCCTCTTTGATTTAGTGGAATATTTGTAGTACAGCTGACAGTCATCAGAAAGGGATGTCTGTGGGTTGATTTCTTGTTTGCCTGTGATGGTATTCTGCTGTGATGTAAAGGCAGATGTGAAAGATGCTTTCAGCATAAAAAGCACCGGCAGTTCTCCTCACCTGATAAAGGCGACTCCAGTTCTACTGGGAAGTCCAGCTAACAGTTTATGCTGACTTCTTTAAAAACTAAAGAAAAACCAAACCATAATGCAGTCTTGGGAACTGATAGGAAGTCAAGATCATGACTTGTGGAGCAGGAAACACAGTAGAATCAAACTCCTCCTGCTCTCTGCCAGGCTGCCTTTACCTTGTTTTGCAGCTTGATATCAGCCTCTTTCCTGGAATAAATATCTGCTTATTGGCCAAAGGGCAAAACCTTGAAAATCTAGTGGCAATTGGCCATAGGGCTGCACTTCAGCCTGTCTGGGAAGAAGCTGAGCTAGCAGGGGCTACGGGCTTGTCCTAGGCAGGGCTGGATATTTTACCAAAACAGTTTGAGCTCTCCAGGAGCAGTGCAATTCATATGCTAAGCACACCAGAGAACCAGTCAGCTAAATGACATTGGGCAGCTTGGAAAAGCTGAGCGAGGTTGCATGTTTACTTGGACAGCTTTGATATCTACCACAGAGAGGCTGATTGATTAATTTTGGTAAACACCTACCATTTTACCTCTGGATGTATATCTGGGCAAAGCTTCTTTCATGTGTGTTAAAAGCTTCATGTCTTTTGCCATTCTTTTGTGTAACAAAAAAACAAAAACCAGAACAATCCTGTCCTGCAAGCAAGAGAGAAAGGGAAACCAGGCAAGGACCTGGATGGGAGAGAACAGCACCAGGAGGCTACCTCTGCCTCTCTTCTGTGTTCAGGGATTTACACTGACTTAGAACCTGCTGCAGTACCAGAGCAGACTGGCACACCAACTGGCCTGCACAACAGATGTGCTGGAATCCAGGGGAGGTTTTGTCTGGCCACAGTACAGACTTGGCACCCCATTTCCCAATCAGGCCTTTGCAGCTGTGCTGCACAGGAGCTGTCGGTCTTTGCTGGAAGAACAGTGTGTCTGAGCAACTGGAACTTACTGCCTTCTGGAGAAATTTGTTCTCGTTGCCCAAATCCCAGCAACATACATGTGTCTAATACTTGTTTGAATACTTGATTTCTAGCCAAGAAATACCCCATTGACCCGTGTTCTGTGGGATGATTCTGTGCTGGAAGTATATATTTTCTTTCAAGAATGTAATTAAATAGCTTTTATTCCTCTTATTCCTTTTATTCCCCTCTCACTCTCTCTCTCTCTCTCTCTCTCTCTCTCTCTCTCTCTCTCTCTCT